CCCCCCTCCCCTCCAGCAATCCTCAGTTTGTTCCCTATAGCTGAGTCTCTTATGGTTTGCCTCCCGCTCTGTTTTCCTCTCATTTTATTTTTCCTTCCCTTCCCCTATGATCATCTGTTTTGTTTCTTAAATTCCACATAGGAATGAAATCATATGGTATTTGTCTCTCTGACTGACTTATTTTGCTTAGCAGTTATGTTCTCTCTTTAAATAACAAACTGAAGAATTGTAATTTTTTTACATATGTGATTCTCAGTAGCATCTTCCTATAGAATGAAATTAATCCTATTTCGTATGACGTAGTGGAAATAGCCTCCTTAATGTCAGAGATTAAAATAGAGTGATTTAATCCAGTGAAAATTCTTCCGGCAAAGATTTTCATAGGCCTCCGAATCTTGTTTGCAGTAATATTTTCTAGCTGCAATTATGAGTAACTGATTCATAAAATAACTAATGCCTGAATATAGGGATGTTTTTCACACATTGCATTACTGCGTTAACAGCCTATAAATCTTTGAAATTATTTACTTGTTTTCTTCTTTCCTCATTTCTAATGGGAATAAAGCTGAGTCCTCTACAACATTAAGATATATAAGAATATGGACAGTAGTGACTGTTACTTTGTTTATACCTATAGGACACATCTGATCAGAGGCTTAAAAATTGCCTCAAATGTGTATTAAAGTCATCACCATTAAATTTTGATTCATGCAAGAAAATGTTTAAATAAATTGGATGGTATTTTGACATAAGATTTGAAATTGTTGAAAAGATTTCATAAGGTGATTAAGTATTTCTGTATCATCATCAGTCATTTTACTAGTGTTTTAAGGAGATTGTTTCACAGTTGGTACTATCTTACAGGCCTTTCCACAGAGGAAGAAATCAATTTATCTTTTCTAGAAACATTAAAAGATGCCTGCAGCAAGTCGGATGAAGTGTCCTATGGGGAATTTGAAGATTACTATGAAGGTCTAAGTATAGGGATAGTAAATGATGAAGATTTTGTTAATATTGTACGTACTCCGTGGGGGATTTAATTTTTTTAGAATGAGTGTGTCTTCAGCACTAAGCATTCTAAAGGAGAGATGAATTGAATGTAAAATATGGTCAAACCCTGGAATATATTTTTCTAGGACTTCTTTTTTTTTTTTTTTCTCAAACAGATTGAGTCTGGAAGGAGAAATCAGAAAGAGAGCTGAAGGGGTATATGTCTAGTCGTGAGCATCTCTGTGTGCTTGCCTGTCTTCTAAGTGTCTAAAGCTCTATCTTGTTGATTCATTACTTATCTTGAATATATTTTAAAGGTCATTTTTTAAATTAGCCTTCATAGGAAATTTACATCTGTATCAAACTATATGAGAGCTTCTATATAGTAACCAAGTTACTCATCCATTGTTTTTTAGCTATCCATTCTCAAAAATATGATTGCCACCCATTCTCAATTTGAAGAACTGGAATTGGGCCCAAAAGCCTGTAAGACTTCAAATAGTTCAGCTTGCTTCAAACATATGAAAATGTTAAAGGAATTAGAGGATATGCAAGAGAAATTTTCCATGCAGTGTAGATGTTTTCTGTAACATAAATATTTAGAATGATGGAGGCTTACCCTTAAAATGCTTACTTAAACACTGGCTTGTCTTGTGGATTCTTCTAAATTATGTGCTGTTGTTTGTCCAGTAGAGCACAATGTAATTATTCAAGTGATCAGATCTGTTTGATCTTTTATCCTATTTTTAACTGCAATCCTTGTTACCTACACAGAATTACTGTTTAGCTAGAAACAATACAAAATGGGAGGGAGAATATTTTCTTAGATTTTTAAATAAAGATCTCAAAAAGTGCATTATCCCATGTATGGACTAAGGGATAATTTAGGAATTCTTAACAAAATGTAAAAGGATGTTTGTGTCCTAAAATGAACGTATGTTATTCTAAACATTTCTTTTTGTTATGCTAAACAATGAAAACATTTTCTTCTAAATAGATATTATTTAATGGTTAGATATATTGTAATTGTCCTTTCTATTCTTATGTTGTTAGGTCATATTTTCTTGTGAATATAATCAGAAAATCTATAGGCTGTCATCTTGTGAAAAAAGGGAAGATTCTTCTGGGATTTAACATGTTAATGTCACAGCGTACTCTTAAATAAGCCTCCACCCTTTTAATATAAATAATCATCTGTGTTTGCAAAAAATTTCTCTACTTAGGAGCTTAGGAATAGTTAATTTCTCATTATTTTACATTGTTATTTCAGTGTAGAGTTAGAAAATACATACTCAATATGTTATTTGTGTATTTTGTTAAATTTTAATTGGTGGCACAATAAATCATTCTGCATTTGCTTTACTGTCTGAATTCTTTGATTTTGGTACAATAAAATCTATTATTTAGTATTCAGTTTACTAGAAGAGCATTTAATTACGTAGTTACATTTTCAGTCACCCACAACATAATAACCGACATTTGAAATTCTATGCTTAACAGTCTTCAAGAGTCTAAAATATCTTGATTAACTTTAAAATATTAAATATGAAATTCTATGTTGTAGTGATGTTACATGAATTTTATAGTTAAGTATATTTCATCATTCTTTAGATCTTTAAAAGGTCTTTGTTTGTGGCATAGAGTTGCTTCCATACTGTTTATTGAATTCTACATATTAATTTTAGTGTCTCTATTCTTATAAATAATGCTTTATGGAATTTTTGGGAAAACTCAAACTGTATTAGAAAACAAAGGATACTATTTAGGAATTTTAAGCTATATTTTAATTAGGAAAGAATATACATTTGAATGTTAGAGCAACTAGAGCATAATATAGATAAAAGTATATGTTCCTGTTTTAAATTTTATAGCAAAAGACCATATGTACTTAATGAACCAGTGACTCTGCACAGGGTAGAGTCACTTAAAATAATCCATAATTTTGATACAGCTATAAAACACATTTTATTAATTACTTTGATTTCCAGTCAAAGTTGTTGTGAATTACTTCAGGACAGAATTGTGTTTTATAGGCTATGCTTACTGCAGATTCTTTAACATGCATATATATGTGAGATTATGGTTTATAGTGCTTGAATAAATAAAATATGTACTGTGATAAAATGTAGTCACTACTAGGTTGGCCAGCAAGGACAAACATCTATAGTGAAAGTGCTTAAAGAAATAGAAGGAATTGAACCAACATAACAAGCCGAGCAAGAGAAGAGCAAAGAGAATTCGGTGGGTTGATAGGGAAGGGTTAGAATCTGATAATGAGGAAAAGCTCTTGTTATAGCCTTCCATTTTTATTTTATGGTTATACAGACTTCTAAGGAAAACATATTTTTTGAATGCCTTCATATATAAGTGCCTCATAGTGTAGCCATTGTTCATTTGATCATGATTTCATTTAACCAGTCATGTAGAAGGTTGACCATTAAGCAACACAGAGGGTAAGGGCGCTGATCCCCTGTTTGGTTGAAAATCCACCTATAACTTTTGACTCCCCCAAAACTTAAGTACTAATAGCCTACTGTTGACCAGAACCCTCACCGATAACATATATAGTCGACTAACCCTTATTTTGTATGTTACATTATATACTGCATTCTTAAAGTATGCTAGAGAAAAGAAAAAGTTGTTAAAATCATTTTCAATACTGTATCAAAAAAAAATTCTAGTGTAGGCGGACCTGCACAGATCAAACCCATATTGTTCAAGGGTCAGCATATTTACTGTGTGGCACTATTCCATGCAATTTCCAAGGCTCTCGATAGTCTAGATTTTTCTCACACGCTGTATATCCACTTTGTCTCAAGTCCTTTGGTTTCTTACTTTTGAATCCATCCTTTTCACTGTTCTCAATGCCTGTTCCTTTGCTCAAGCTCTTACCACCTTTCATGTGTATTACCCCCACATCAACTCTGCTTCCTCCCCAATCCTACTTTAACCCATCCTACACCTTGCTGTTAGAATGATCTTTCTAAAATGTACTTCCATGATTTAAGTCCTTCCATGGTATCCTATACCTTTAAGAGAAGTTCAGACTCCTCACCTTAACACATAAAACCTAAATAGCCTGGTCTCCCTAAGCTCAACTCCCTCTCCACACTCCACTCTCCTTGTCCCCCCAGCCATTCTGAGCTACTTATAGTTTTTAAACTGGATTGTGAGGCGTCAAACCTCTGTGACTTCAGAACTGCTCTGCTGCTTTTGTCTAAAATGGTTTCCTCCATTAGTGCATCGAAGTTAACTCACAGTGATTTTCTAATACTACTTCAAGAACCATCTCTTCTGGAAAGCTAAAGCAGAGAAACTCTTGAGTCTGATATAGTTGTCCTTCTTGGGATCTCAGAGGCAGCCTGTATGAGCCCTTCATCCAGCATTTATCACTTCATACTATAGTTATTACTTCGCTTGTTTTCCCACTGATTTGTAAGCTTCTCGAGGGTAAGAACCATATCTTATTTCACTTTATGAGCCTGGCATGTGGTAGGTGTTCAACCAAAATTTGCTAACTGGGTAAGTGTGATTTTGAGCAACAATTGTTATGGTTCTTACATTTTAACACTGTTGCTTTAAAATACTGTAGCATAGACTATTGAATAGTACGAATGTGCACTTTAGTGTAAGCTTCAATTATGGGGGCAGTAAGTTTCCCTAATAAAGAATGCACAGACTGGAGGTGGCTCAGTTAGCACTTTATCAACAAGACCTCACTACTCCAGGGGCTACCATATTCACTTCAACTAGCTGGAATTCAGTCAGTATTTGATGCCTATAGAACTAGCCTCCTAAGCACAATGGGTTTAATCCATAAAAACAGGGCATCATTGAATCCCTAAATGGTCTTGTGTCCACCCGTGGATTAGAACTTCTGATTGCCCAACTATAACAGTACGGTAACCAGATGCCTCCCTTTGCATGTGCTGTTGCTGCTTCTGGGGAGCTTTTGTGTGCTGGGATGGTTGCAGCTCCCAATGGGACAAACTACTGGGATTTCAGTGAGTTTACAGATTAGGTTGTGTCATCTCCTCATGCCTCCTTGCTAAGAAATGCTCGTTTGTTTGTTAAAGATTTTATTTATTTGAGAGAGAGAGAGAAAAAGAGCATGTGCACGGGAATGTGAGCAGGGGGATGGGCAGAGAGAGAGAGAGAGAGAACCCTAAGCAGACTCCACGCTGAGCATGGAGCCCAATGTGGGCTGAATCCCATGACCCTGAGATTAGGACCTGAGTGGAAATCAAGAGTTGGAGGCTCAACTGACAACCACCCAGGTGCCCCAGAAATGCTTGTTTAATAAATGTCTGTATGTGTGGCAGAATTTGGTCTGATTTCATCATAGTTGGGTAGGAGGAGTAGCTAATTCTCACCAATCTTCAAGATTTTTGGCTGGGGGGTTCTGGGGGGAGGTATCACAGTTAACTACCATAAAAAACCCTATTGTACACAACTAAATTAGCTATTCCTAATACAGTTGTCAGTTTGCAGCTACAGTTCTCTATCAGACACCACATCACAGGTCCAAATAGAGCATGGCACAATGCCTGAGGTAATAGACTTAAAACTTTAAATACCCCTAGTTCATGATTGTTATAACACAGACATAAAGTAGGCATAGTGGAACATGGAAGAACTTTTTGTGTCATCTCGGGGAGGTAATAATAATAATTCATCCCTCTGAAACCATATGATATATTAAGATATTATTGAGATGGCATTTCGAATGTTCTATAAACAAGCCAAAATTGTAAAAATTTTGGAGATTTGATTGTATAGATTATAAAAATGTATTAGCAGATACACCTTATCAGACTTCTTTCTTCAGTAACCTATGTGAGCTAATTTGTGTAGTTTTTGGATATCTTAGCAAGGCAAAGTTATTTGGAAGGATTTGAATAAAAAAATTACCCATCTGGTGACAAATTTTATGCAAGGAGAAAACAGTCAAGGTCTCTTGTGTTTACGTATTCCTTTTATCAAGTTAGGATGGGATTTCTGATCTATGGCTGAATAAGTTTAGATATAAATGAAAAGATTTTCACCTTTGCAACTGTATGTTGAGTTTCCTGGGATTTTCAGATGATGAGAAAGCCAATATGGAACAGGTGACTGCAATTCAAGGAAATAATTATATGTCACTTATGAAAGTTGCACACTTATCCAGTAGTTGAAGAGATTTGTGTAGAAGAACTTAAGAAAATATATGTTGTCAAGGAAAGGTAATTTTGAGGATATATTCAGATGACCATTACATCTAGAAAAAGCATGTACTTTAATAATATTTTAACATAAATGATGTGTAAAGGGCACAAGCTTTGAAGTAACTGAATAATGATTTCAAAAGTTGAACTCTGCTACAAATTAGGTATGACTTTGGGAAGCTACTGAATGTCACTGTCTCTACTGAAGGACTGACTGACTATAGGTGTAAGTATGGATATACTTAGAGATGTAGATATAGATATATATCTAGGTATAGTGCTTAGCACAATCTAGCAGACAAATGTAACTCAGTATACATTTATTTCCATTGTGTTTTTTGCATGAAATAAAAAATTAATGAAGAGTTTTATTTTTTTTCTGATTAATCCCAAATGGCCATCATTAGAAACATTATTTTAAAGAGAGATCAGTTCTCTTCCTTCATCAGAGCCCATGCAGGAAATCAAAATCTTATATGAAGGCTATCAGTTCTTTTCCTTCAAAGCTTATAGCAAGGTGACAGGTTGAAAGAGTAATTAGTAACAGTATTTATTGTTACTGGAATTAATTGGAAGATGATATATGTGGAAGACTAATTTTATAACTATAGAGACTTAAGGCAACATTCCTAATATCTTTGGTGTCTACACTAAGACAGTCGATTGCCTTGAATCCAATAAGAGATTGTGTTTTCCAAAGATGGCTGGAACAGTATCTCATCCCATCAAGTGTTGTTACATAGTGAACTTGACCTCACATCAAGAGGTGGGGTGTATGTCTTCTCTAGTTGGGTAAAGTGATTTGTTACTTGATTGTTACAATAGATTGGGGCTGCAGTGAGGCTGTGTGACTTCTCAAACTAAGCAAGAAAAAGCCATAAAGTGTCTTCATTGCTTGTTGCAAGACTTGAGCCACCAAGTAAGAAGTCAGACTATATGAGACTGCCAAACTGGAGGGGCTATTTGAGGTGTTCTGCTCAACAGCCAGATCTGAGCTTCCAGCTGGTACCTAGCTAATATGAAT